GGGTGCTTCACCCCAGGAGAATGTCCTGAGAAACGTTGAAATTGAAGAAACAGAGAGATGTTGTACAGTAGATGCACAGTTAGACAAGGTAAAAATTAGTGACTCAACAAATGGGAGCTCTTTGCTGGACCCTGTACTTAACTGTCTTCCTCTTTTAACACCTGCGCCTAATGGTGACTGCCTTTCCTTGTCCAGCTCAGCCTCTCCCCAACTGGGGGATTGGGCAATGGCTCAGTGTCAGCTGCCTGAACCCACAAATGGGACTGCAAATTTTGCTGAGCCTTTATCTGTCGCTTGGACGGATGATGAGGACCAAGGACCTGTAACTTACGATGTGGGAATCTCAGATACAAAGTCACTTACTGAAGCTGTTCTCAGCAATCCTGTGCAGCCCAACTTGGACTGCAAGCTATCATCTTCCTTAGCCGGCCTAGAAGAAGAAACCATAGACGTTGGAGGGATAGAGGACTTCTTTCTTAATATTGAATGTGTCCGGCCAGATCCTTCTCCTATATCTGAAACTGAGGTGGATGTTCTGAACTAGTGAGTGCAAGTAGTGGCAAGGAATTACTTTGACTACTTGGTGAGGTGGGCTAGCAGACAATATTGCAAAATTCTATGGCAAATAGTAAGGAATCTGCCCACAAAAAGCAATTAATAGATTCCATAATGTTTTTGAGTATTTTGATCAGATGATGGAAAAGCCCCCTTTAAAATCAAACTGGGGAGAGGCTGCTTTATTATCACCAGTTCTCAGCCTCATTAAATCATGACCGTGACATTGATATAATCTATTCTTTGTGTAGGGTGGCCTTCCAGGATGCTGGGGTTCTTCTGGCCTCTTGTGGGATAGGTGATAAGCTACAGAAATCTACAGCATTTACTTCTATGAAAAGTAATATTTTATCTTGCGAGAGACATCTTGGGGGCTGGTAATAATTTTACACAAGTGTGTTCTACTTAATTTCCTTTATAGATTATAATGTAACTGTCTTATAGTAAACACAAGATTTTAAAATGCCAGTCAAAAGTTCAAAGGGTGACTTATAATTCAGAGGACAAAATTACGTTTTCTGGGAAGAGTATTGTGAAACAGTGTTGTCCTCAAGTTTTTAAGTCCTGTGCTTCCCCTCAATTTTTTAAAAACATTTTATTTAATGGCTAGTGAATTAACTAAACCCGGAAATGCAATGGTTAGGACAACTGTTGTCCCAAGCTGAAAGCTACTAAGTTGAGTTAGCAGTTCAAAGGCAATATATAAAGGACTGGCAACAGAATAAGAATTGCCCTCTTTGTACTGGCTCTTTCAGTTCAATGCTTCCATTTTTTGTTTGTTTAAAGGTCAGATTGGAACTGCTGAGGGTCTGCTGATCTGTATTTCCCAGTTACTGGAGATCACACTACTAATTCAATACTTGCAGTAGTACATGCTTTGCTGTAAATGTTAATTCTTTCTCCTTAAACCAATACGTTGCTGGAAGTAGCACCCCTTTCTCCTGCTACTTTTGGCCAGATGGACCACTTGAATTGAGCTGACTTTTCTCCTGATAAGCGGCCTGCAGTATTTAAACACTGATACAGGGAACTAAGTGCCTTGCTGACTTTCTATATTTTAAAAAAGAGAAGGCTCCCTAGAGGCTTGAGAATAATTACCAAGTTGCTTGTTTTTCATTGAAACCATCTCCTTGTGTTTGCAGCTTCTTCACAGAGAAGTGTATTCAAGTGCAATGACCTATACTCCACGAAGCTGTGCCAAATACTTCCTTCTCTCACAACCCAAAGCTCTTCATGTATGCAGAACATTCTGAAGAGTAGATGGCACAAAGACTGGAATAAATATTGAGTTGTAACTTGTTCAAATAAAAATTCTTACGTTTTCTTGGTTCTTTGTATCATATTTACACTGAAGCCATCTTGTGGGGTTAACTATAGCTAAAGGAAATAAAACTACACACGCACAAATAATACAAATTGTTGGGCAAGCATTGGGAAGATTGATAGTCAGCATAGTAAACTAAAAGTTAACAGTAGAGTTAAGTCTCTTGAGCAGGTATTTTGTGCATAAGGAAAATAATGTGGTTTAAATATTAAAACTTCAAAGGCTGAGGATTGCTATCAGTAATATAATAGGATAATTAAAAGGATAACTCAAAAATGAAAGCTAGTAGCCTTCTTTAATAATCTTTAATTAGAAGAGAAAAAGAGGTTTAGAGAGAATAATTAGCAATTTATGGCCCTTGTGGAACGGCTTAGATATTCCACCTTGGCTAATTCCTTAGTCAATAAAAAAAAAGAACAAAACATTGCAGAGGAGAGACTTAGGTTTTCAGGGTTCTTCATTCTGTCATGATCAAGGAAATAAGGAAAAGGCAAAATAAAAGTAGTAGTTGTGAAGAAATCCTTTTCTCTGCCAAAACAATCCCAATACTTTTGGCTTTGGATTATTTCCTTCAATTCTAGATAGCAAGGGACCAAATACTGTAGAGATTTTAAGTATAACTTCTAAAATGCCACTAGCAAACAAGTACACATTTAGGTTTTACTGGGGAAAAAATACAGGACAAAATATTAGCATGGTGATCTAAAGCCACTGGAGGGATGAAAGTGCAATAGCAAAATAAAATGAAATGTTTTCAGAAATCATGTGTATACTTGGGAGTTGTATGTGCTTGGGAGGACAAGTTTAACACTTCAGCAGATGAAACAGGACATGTGAATATAGATCTGCAACTTTAATTCGCAAAACACTGGACAACACTATACTGTGCCATGACAGAGAACCTCATACTTTTATTTCACAGGACAGAACTAAACGAGATAGAGGAGGCGGTTAAGTTTTACTGAAAATCAAGTTCTTCCCCAAAATGTTCTCAGAAGTAACAAACATTTGAAAGGATGGTGGGGCAGGAAAGGATAATATTTGGTCCATTCTTCCTTGCAAAGGAGGGGCGGGCAGCAGTTTCAGAGATACGACCAGAGTTTCTTTACCCCACTTCATCATATCTCATCATGAATGCTCCAGTTCACAGGAGGAACGGACAGTCATAGAGGCTGTAGAAAACAAAAGATGCCTGTTAGCCAGAGATCCTACTTCCCAGTTCAGGCCATCATTTATAACTCCCAGGTGTACAATGGTTTTGTTTTCATTTCTAAGCCACACAGTACAGATGCATACGGCTATCCATAATACAATCTAAGAGAGCTTCCCGCAGTATAAGAATATAGAATTTAAGGTTCCAGAGATGTAAAATATGACTCATTTTAGGTAGTATCAATGATGGGTACCAGATACCACATATCCAGACCCCATTCCCAAGTACATTTGTTCAAATATTGTATAGGAGCCAATTTGTTGGCGTGGGTTCAAGACATTATTTGGACAGATTATAGGCAATCCCCAATTTAATGACCATTCATCAAACAAAGTTATGGTGGCACTAAAAGGGAGTTATGACTGGTGCCTGAAGTTATGGCCGATCAAAATAAGGATGTTGGCAAACTTGCCTGCCCTTACAACTGCAGGGACACTTCACACACACACATTCTGGGTGTAAACTTACCACTTTGTTCCTACTCCATCACTGTTGACTTTAGTAAGTTGAGCTTCACCATTTCAACGATGTGGCTGGGTTCTGGGAATTTCAATTTGCGGGGTGGCCCTTTTTTAAGACCACTCCATAGCTCTATTTCTAAAAAATAATTAACACATAAGCAATCACCAGAAGTACTTGGATTATACAATGTCAGTAACTTCCCATACATAATGCTAAAAGGTCACATGGTTTGTAAGCAGAACTGAGTTCACTGATCAACTAATCACTTTCAAAACAAAAGGGGCAACTTGCAGCCAGGCACTGTTCATCTTAAACTGCTTCATTTTTTTTCCCTGCCTAGCTGGGCAGAAGCTTGATGTTCAGTTGGTGCTGTGTTTGTGGGACAGAGTGCAGAGAAAGATTTGTACAATGAAAAAAAAGGGAATGCTTCCAGAACAGAGCTCATAAAAAGAACTAAAGGCACTTGTAGCTTGTAGTAAAATAAATCAGACCTGTGTGAAAATGTGGCACAGCCATTCATTATAATGAATAACATTTATTACATTACATCACCACCAGTTTTCATATCTGAAGTACAAGATTTATCCATTTCACTTGAAAGGGGGATGGTCTTAAATAGCCTCTGGCAGGATCAGGGTGGAAGTAGTGCATCCATCCTGGCTCTTTTTGACTTCTCAGTGGTATTCAGTACCATTGATCATGGTATCCTTCTGAACCAGCTTCAAGAACTGGGTGCGGGGAACACTGTGTTGTTTTCCTCATTTCTCCGGAAGTGATTCCAGTCAGAGTTGATAGAAGGAAAGAGCCAGCCCACAGCCACTACTTTGTGGGGTGCCCAGGATCTGGTTCTCTCTCTCCTACTTAATGAGGTTGCTGGGTGAGGTGATCCACTGATTTCAGAAAGTTATCATCAATATGCAGATGACGCCCAGCTTTATACTGTATATCTGCCCCATGCCTTTTGAGTAATGCTGTAGATGTCCTATCCCAGGGTCTGGTGGCTGTTTGGGACCGGATGGGGTGAAATGAATTCCCAATCATCCCTAGCAAGACAGAGTGGTGGTTGGACCTTCCAGAGACGAGGTTCTTCCATCTTTGGTTCTGGATGAGGTTGCATTACCCTTGACAGAGTCTGTGTGCAATCTGAGGGTCCTCTTAGACTCACAGCTCCTGCTCAAAGGTGGCAGCCATGGCTAGAACCTTTGCACCCCTCAGATAGTTTATCAGTTGTGCCTATTTCTGGACCAGAAGGCCCTGCTCAGTTATTCATGCCCTTGTAACCTCTTGTTTAGACTAAACGCACTCTACACAGGGATGCCTCTGAAGAGCATTCAGAAACTTCAGCTTTTGCAGATTGTAAATGGTGCCAGATACACATAACCCTAGTACCGGCTGAGCTGCATTGATTACCTGCATGTTTCCGGATTGTACAATTCAAGGTGCTGGTTGTCCCCTTTAAAAGTCCTACATGGCTTGGAGCTGGGTTACCTGAGGGACCGGCTTTTTTCCCAAGAGTCTCTACCTGTCAAATTCAATCTAACAGACTAAGCATGCTGCAGATCCCGTCAGCCAAAGAGTGCTGCCTGGCATGGACTAGAAAATGGGCCTTTTCTGTAGTAGACCCTGCCGTGAGATAACCTCACCTTGGAGATTAGAATGGTTTCAATCAGGGGTGGGATACTACAGGGTTAACTACCGGTTCGGGATTTAAGAGCTTCCCTGCCCGCTGTGAGCCGTGAGTGCCTCGTTCGGCAGCTGAAGTTGAAAAATCAGGAAATAAAGATCAGGTAAGAGCCCGGGTGGGCAAAAACACCAGACGACATAGAACCGTTTCTGTGTCTGCTGCTCTTCAGAGCTACCGGTTCTACAGAGGTGGACAGAACCGGTAGAAACCCACCCCTGGTCTCAATCCTGTTATAAAGCTCTACAAATCCGTCTGTGCTGAACGTGCTAAAGGCAGAGCTTCCTGACTTGCTAACAGGCCAAGCATCTCTGCTGCTGTGTATATATATTTTGGATGGTTTTTATAGTTTTCATTGTTTTAAAATGTTTCTAATATTTTAATTGTGTTTTTTTTAATTGTAAGCTGCCCAGTCATTGATTGAGATGGGCAGCTATAGAAATTGAACAAATAAATGAACCTAAGCTTGTTTATTCTATGGCAAATCTCATTAAATTCAGAAGCTCTTATTCCCAGAATAGTATACTTGGGACATCTCATTCTGTTCATACTACCTAGTTTCACTTTAATTTGCATCGTCTTCTTTTCCACGTTAAAAAAATTATGAATGTCTGCAATAAACCATCTACTTAGCTGTGGAAGTTCTCCACCACTTGAGAATCTCATTTTCCCAAATGTTCTTGAACACTCTGGAGCATCTCCATGGAGAAAGGCACTCACTATATGTTGAGTGTAACAAGGTGAAGCACAATTAGTGCACCACCAGCCTCTCCCGTCTTGAAGACGCAGTACATGTTTTTAGCCCCTTTGCATTTCCTGCTCCTTCTGTAGTCAGTACCATAGTTAGCACAGTTAACATATGTAATTACTTAAGGGAAAACATGGTATTAATTGGAAGAGTCTGGTATTTCTCTTTTCAAAACTGTATAACGCACAAAGTGATATCCAGACATAAGATTATGGTGAAGCAGAACAGAAAGTTAACCATCTTTCTAGGCTGTAACTTTGTTCTGCTGCATCATCTCTTATGTCTGGGCATCACATTTATATAAGATATGAGCAACTCATTCCAACTCTCATGAGATTTCAGGAATACACCATAAAATATTGTACAATATTTTGCTGCTCTCATAGAAAATATTGACTATTTTAGGGGAACAAAAGAATGTTATTTAGGGAAGCAACACACTGACACTGTGGATTTTATGTTGTTGATGTCTACAGTGGGTGGTCTGGTGCTATGCTTCAATACCCACTTTCACATCTATACTGTGAAATGTGCACAAACTTTGTGAGAGGGCTTACACTCACATTGGAGAAGCTGACTTAGATACTGAGCGGAATGAAAACACCATTCTAATAATAAAATGTCACCGACATTGAAAATATGGGACTAATATTGAATATGAAGAAGATCAAAGCATACAGGTATAAACAATAGGTACAGCAGAAAGAAGATTTTTTTCCTGTGATACTGTAGAAACAAAATTTGGACTTTGAAGAAGTAGGATAGGAAGAGTATCAATGCTTTTGAACCTTGGTGTTGGAGAAAACTGAAGTCTGCCATGATTATCAAATGCATGTTAAACAAATAGATCATAAAACAAATAAATCCAGAATTCTCACACGAGGCACAAATAACCAGGCTCAAATTAGAAAAATTTGGACACATTATAAAAAAACCTAACTCTCTGGAGAAGTCTATAAAGTTATGAAAGATGAAAGAGAAAAAGACGACAACCTATAATTAGGCACATGGACTCAGCTGTACCTTTCAAAGATCTGAAGAATCAGGTTGGGGACAGAGTATACTGGAGAAAATCTATCACTGAGATCATTAAGACTTTATACCAACTTGATGGCATGTAATTAAGCCCATTCTGTAACATCATTCAAGTAGATAGGACAATTCCTGAGACGTTGATCACGTGCTTCATTCATGCACTGTGTTAACTGTGGTCAACTACAGTATGTTGTATCGGACAGTGGTCACCAACCAGTGGGCCGGGGACAACGGGTGGTCTGCAAGAAAATTTTGGTGGTCCGCAGAGAAATGTCCTCCCTAAAGCAATTAATCCAGGCTACGCGGGAACACAAGGCTGCGCCGCCCACATGGGAACACAAGGCTTGCGTCACTTGCATTGCAAACAATAGGAGGTAGTGAGGGGAGGGGGGAAAGGGCGGATGGGGGGGGACTTGTCCCACTTGCCTGGTCTGGCCACCAGGCTACTTCTTTCTTATGCTGCTTTTGGCTGCACACAAGGAAAGCAGCAAAAGTCTTTCTTTCTCTCCCCCAAACTCTTTAGGAAATGAGTCTTTGGGACCCTGCTAGGCCTCCTGCTCCAAGAGGCTGCACCGGCAAAGACTCATTTCTGGTGGAGTTTGGGGGAGAGAAAGAAAGACTTTTGCTGCTTTCCTTGCATGAAGCCAAAAGTCTCTCTTTCTCTCCCCCGCCCCCAACGGAGCTGGAGACAGTATCCTGAGATCCCAAATAAAGAACGATCGATCAATAGGAAAATGGGGTGGGGAATTTTCCTGCAGATTTTTTGGGGGATTTTCCCAGGGTCTCTGGTCCATGGGATTTAAAATGATCAGTTTGGTGGTCCCTGAGGTCCAAAAGATTGGCAACCCCTGGTATAGGACCAACAATCTTAACTGGCATGGAAACCTAGGAAACTAGGTTAATTTAATAAACCAATTGTGGTATATTCGATAGACCTAGCTAAGCAATGGTTAGCATTGAGATTGCAAATCCAACATGGTCTCATGCATCCTATTCTCATAAGCAACAGAATAACTCACTGGTGCCATCCTTTTTCAAGAGAACCACTTCAAAGCTATTTCTCCGGGGTTTTTCAAGGTTGACCTCCACACAGATGTCAGGAAAGGCCAGGCACAGCTCTTGGCTGATAGCCTCAGCTGTGCGTCCAAAGACTCGTCAGCTTTTACTGTCAATATTGAAGAAAAATAAGGAAAAACATCTTAATACTACAGAGTGAATGTGAATGTGAATTTGAAAGTCCCTGGAACTTAAAAAGAACAAGGTTCCCACCATATTTAAAAAATACATCTCATCTTTCTCTTTTTATTTCATAATAAAAACTTCACTTTAACATTTTATTCGCAGATGGGAGGATAGTTGTCTATTATTTTACACATATCCATTAAACTCAAAAATACGTCACCGTGGCAATTTATGGCACTTGGGCGCTATGTTGCCCAAACTGACATTTGCATTATATTATTACATAAAAGACATTCTGGAATAAATCTGTGCACATGTACCTCCTAAATAACAGTTTGTATCATTAACATAAATGCACAGAAGACATAAATAGCTGCACCAATTTGGTTCACTGCACACAAAGTTCATTGCACTGAGGCCCAATGTTACAATGAAATATTTGATTCAAAACAGATTCCATCTGATTTACAGGGTTTAATCAATTAATAGTGTTTTTTTAAATTGTGTTTTTTAGAACCCTAAAATCCCATGAGAAATTGATGGGGTAATAGCAAAAAGGAAAAAACAAACCCTTGAACCCAAATAATTTTGTGTTTTTAGAGCTTTGCCTCTTAAGATTCCAGATTTTTAAAAAATTAACAAGTTCTGTAATTTAAAAACCTCAAAACATTAGAAAATTTCTGAATTAAAAAATGTATTTCTATTTGAGTGGTCAGCATAATTTATTATTAAATCTGTTTTTAATATATTTATTGTACTTATAGGAACAGACGGCATTCTTTCCAATTTGGGGAACCTGTATTTAAAATGTCTCCAGCCAGGAATCTCCAAATCTACTGAGGCTCCAATTTCTAGAATTCCTGGAACACCTAAGAGTAGGCAGCTCTAAGCAACTGTTACAACATGCATGCATCAATTTAAAACATCCACCCACCTTCACAAAACTTGTTTCTTTCAACAAATACAACAATAAATACAATCAGTTAAAATTTACATTATTATTATTTTTATTGAATACCTATCCCAGGTCCAATAATTATTTTCAGAACGGGGAAAATGTTATTCTAAAACAAGTTATCTGACTGATTACCTTCTCTCAATATGTAGGCAATGTGTCATGGATTACTGCATCCTGCAATCTTACCAGTGCTCAATGGTCACATGAAGGTCTCCCGATCCTTCAGTCTTCTGGATCTTGGGCAATTTTTTAACATCACTGGTTCCCTCTCCATTGGATGCTGTGGCTTCTGCTTGAGGAATCTTTGCCTTCCTTTTTCGCCCCTTGGGAGGCATTCTGCAAATGAAGGCAAGAAGAAAGAATATTACATTTGTATTTTTGGATTACAGATCTCAGTATATGTAGCTGATTTTTCTGGGAAGAACACACCAAAGAAAGAATCCTTAGAGTAGTGGTAGTGGAGAAAATTTTGGTGGTCTGCAGAGAAATGTCACCCCAGAGTACCCCCCCCAAAGCAATTAATCCATGCTGCGCCGCCCACAGGGCCCACAGGGCCCATGGGAACCCTCCCCGTCCAGTCACTCCTTACCTGGAAACCTTGCCTGCTAAGTTGCTATTTTTCCTTTTTTCTTCTTCTGACCACCAGCTGTTCTGCTGTGCTGGGAGATTTAGATTAGCTAGAAAGCAGGAACTGTTGGATTTCTTGCTTTCTAGTTAATCTTTAGATCTTCGGCTCTGCTTTTAAGATAGCCGATAAGTGAATCTAAATGAATCTGTGATTCTGTGAGCAACTCAATCTCCCTGCCTGTTTTGCCTGATTTTGGGTAAAAGTTGCTCTTTTTTAATAAAAAAATTCAATATTTATATAAATATTTATATTTACATATAAGCCATGCCCAGCCAGTCACATGACTACCAAGGCACGCCCACAAATTAGGCTATGCCCAAGAATAAGAAATTTGAATTTCGTGTGTGTGTGTGTGTGTGTGTGTGTGAGAGAGAGAGGGGGGGGGTAAGATCAGATCTCTCTCTCTCCCAAGGTCAGTCAAAATTCATATTAGTGGTCCCCTGGATTTAAAATTATGAGTTTGGTGGTCCCTGAGGTCCAAAAAGTTGGTGACCCCTGGCTTAGAGAATGTTTATCTATTATGCTATCAGTCTGATTTACTGATGATAACTCTCATTTGAAATCCATTACTGCATCTTCTGCCTTTTGCCCTTTCACAGGAAGGTGAAAAGAGTAGATAGAACAACTACATATGCTCTACCTGGAACTATCTAGGAAAAAGAAGCCAAACAGCCTTGATTTATTGAGTTCAGAAATGCAAAGTGTGGCCAGAGCTCATCAGCATTTATTTTGTCCTCCTCTCAAGTATTTTGTTTAATAGCACTTAGTGGGGATTAATATAAGCTTAGATATAAAACTCCAGAAAATTTGCCCCTTATATGCCATGGGAAGTCTGGTCATGCTCTTCAATTAATGGATATGACTCCTTATTTAGTTCATACTGTCAACTGCAATTCCCAATCAAAACCATATCTTTAAAATGTAACTTTCCAGGCTATCTGGAAATGATGGGAATTGTAGTTTAACACTTTGAGAAAAAACTGGGGAATTAGTGATCTCCAAACTACTGGTTGCAATGGGCCAAGATTTTCAATAGTCCTATCAAAATGTACTTTGATGGCAAGCAATGAAACTCACTTTTTCTCCATTTAAAACACACTTTTCTCCTAATAGCAAAATATGAATTAGCTACAAATACCACACCCTCATTGTGATCGTTTAAAGTTACAACTGCACTGAAAAAGGGACTTATGACCATTTTTCACATCCTCATTGTCACATGATCAAAATTCCGGATGCTTGGCAACTGACTTGTATTTATGAAGGTTGCAGTGTCCTGGGGTCTTATGATCACTTTTGTAATTTTACAAGGAAAGTCAATGGTGAAACCAGATTCACTTAACCATGTTATTAACTTATCAATTGCAGTGATTCACTTAACATCCGTGGCACAAAAATGGGGCAAAATTCACATAATATGTTTCACTTAGCAACAAAAATTTTAGGCTCAATTGTAGTCATAAGTGGAGAATTACCTATATTAAAAAAACATCATTAAATTTGTTAGCAAGGAGTGTATTAGAGAATATGAGTCTGTGTGTGTTGTTACCCACAAGCTTTTCATCAAAGGAGAAAGCAAGGCAAAAAAGGATTATAAATGATTGTGGTTTATTTAACCAATTTATGTATAAGCAAAGGAGACCCGTGTACACTAGTTTAATGTTGGGATTTGCAGACCAAAATACAAATTCCCATTCAACTTACGGGGCTCACTGGACGAGATGCTGACCTCTGGGAGAAAAAGGATACAAATGCAACTGATAAGGACAGAACCAACAGAATAATCTTTGATAACGCTAAAAAGAAGTAGCAATAACCATGAAAGAAAAGCAGAATAAAATCGGTCCAAAAACTCTCGTTGGGAGACGACAGAAAAACGAACCGCAGAGAAGTTTGCCAAGAAAACCATTTAGATTAAGCATTAAAAAAAAAAAGCATCGCCCCTCTGGAGCTGCGGGAAAGAGATCCATCCTGGTCTCAGATGTAGAGGGATAATTAAACCGAGACTAATAAGAGAGCAACCTCCGGGAAACGAAGCAACCGCGCCTGCTTTTTTGTTTGCAACCCACACGATGGGCAGCTCAAGAAAGGAAATTTCCCGCAGCTTCAACCATTAAGCGCTGGACTTGGAAGGGAATGAGGTGCATTAACCAAAAACCCGTAAAAGGCAGACGAGCCACCCCCAAGGACAAATACAGCCTTTTCCCGCCTCACCTTCCAAAGCGCGGGCTGCGACGAAGCCAGCACAATCCTAAGCCTCCCCGACTGCCCCGCGCGCCAAAGCCTTTCGTAAGATGGCCGCTGCCCGCCCGTGAAAGTTGAGTGACGTCCTGTAGCAACCAATCACGACTCGCTTTCGAAGGGCTACCGTATTAGCTGGGCGCGTTTGCAAGCTTTAGCAAAGGCAGCGAACTCTCCCCGGTGGGCAGGGCAGGTAACGGCGCCTGTCAGTTAAAGGGGCTGAACTACGGGTTGGACCGGCGCTTCCGGAGAAGTAGGTGCCACCTTCCATTCCGCGGCTCTTCCTTCACTTGGAGCATCTTTCGTTCGAGCAGTTGTTCTGCTTCATTCACGGACGTATCTTTTCTGCTCTTCCTGGTCGCCCGCCGCTCGGCAAGAGGAAATAATTGACTCCAATTTGCAGCTCCGTGGAGAATCTTGCAGTACAGGTAGTCCTCGACTTACAACAGCTCATTGACCGTTCAAAGTTACAACGTCAATGAAAACAGGGATTTGTGACCATGTTTCAGAGTTACAACCTTTGCATCATCCCCATGATGGAGTGATCACATTTCAGATACTTGGCAACTGGTTCATACTTATGACTCCCTGGGTCATGTGATCTGCTTTTGTGACCTTCAGACAAGCTGAGTCAATGGGGCAGCCAGATTCACTTAACAACCCCGTTACTAACTTATCAACTGCAGTGATTCACTTAACTGTAGCAAGAAAGGTCATAAATTGGGACAAAGCTCATTTAACAAATGTCTCATTTGATAACAATTTTGGGGTCAATTGTGATTGTAAGTCGAGGACTACCTGCACAGTAGGATATGTTGCCCAGGAGAGTTCATCATTTGCTTCCTGAGAAAATCTCTCCCGCTATTAGATCCCACTTAGTGGCAGAGTTCATACAATAAAATTAATAACTAAGCAACCAGAATAGATGCTGTACAAGATCAGTGATTGACTTATAAGACTCATTCCCAACTGCAATTATGATTAGCTTATGTCTGTATAATCAAACAAGTTCTTTGTCTTTTTGTTTTTTAAAAGTTCTAATTATTAGAACTTTAAAAAAAACAAGACAAAGAACCAGTTTGGTTAAAGCATGAAACTTGAGTTAGGCCTTAGCCATTAAAGCCAGCTGAGTAATCCTGAGCCAGTCATTATCTCACAGCCCAGTTCATAGGATTGTAGTTGTGGGGAAAATAAGAGGTGGTGGATATGTTCACTGCATTGAGTTAAATTTTTTTAATAGTAAAGGTGGGATATAAATAAATAAATAAAATCAAGTTAATAAGATTGCTCATATCGGGAAAACATATAAATCAGTAAGCAGGGTCAGAAGCTGCCCGGTGGAAAAAGCAGATGCCCAAGGTACTTTGAACTTCTAACATTCATTGTGTTGTGGAAACAGTGTTTCTCCTAACATTGAGCTGAAATCTGTTACTCTGCTATTTCCATCAGTTGGTTCTAGTCCTATCTCTGGGGCCAAAACCAACATCCTGCTTGTCTCCTCCAGAAAAGAGATGGGTGGTTGAAGACTTGCTCCTTGCCACTGTTAAATAACATCAGATCCCAGGTGGCACATCCTCATTTGCCACTGAACAGTTTTGTTTTTGTACCGTTATATATTCTGAGAACAAGGGCATTAGCAGTTACACTTCTGAAAGAAGCATGTCTTCTCCATCTGTCAAATCAGCAGAAGCCACACTACTAAGAACAAGAATTCTTATTTAAATAGATGGAGGATTAGAACCAGGATTTAGTTAATACTCTTAATACAAAACATGTTAATCTGCTAGGAATGAGATGGGCTACAAATATTGTGAAATAAATAATAAAATACCACCCCTTTTTTTACTGCCTGCTTCACTCTAGAGCAGTGGTCCCCAACCTTTTTTGTGCCGCGGCCCAGTACCGGCATCACAAAATCATCCGCGGCCCGGTACCGGCATCAGCACGCATGGCAAGGCGAGCCGAGCGACCGGCCAGCCAGCCTTCCCCCGCTTCTTCCCGCCACCTTCAACTCCTCCTTTGTACCTGTGTTGATGGGCTTCGCGACGGGACGGTCACTCAGCTCGCCTTGCCATGCGTGCTGAAAGAATCCTCGCGCCTTACTTTTGTTCGAAGCCGCCCCCCCCCCCTCGATGAAACTAAGGCGTGAGGATTCTTTCAGCACCCAAACGCTGCTTTTTCATCAAAACAAGATGGCGGTGCCCAGCAAACCGGCAGCCCGGTAGAAATTGTTCCACAGACCGGTACCGGTCCGGGGACCGGTGGTTGGGGACCCCTGCTCTAGAGTACAAATGATAGGATGGAGATATATATACCCTAATAAATTGTGTGAACCCATCCAATGTGAATCTCATTTGCTTTCTGCATATCTTCTATAAATGTACCCTAACAGAAAAAGAAAAAGCCTAAAAATGCTGCTGGATAAAGAATGAGCTGAGCTTGAGCAAATTGATTTAAACATTAGAACACTGTATTTTTTTTAACAAGCCAAAGTCAAACCATGAAGGCAGGAACTCCACCAACAATCTAATAAATCAATAAAAGGTCACAGGAATACAACACTCCCAGATTTATTAAAGGCACCTGTACAAGACCATTAACGGAAGCATGAACATGGATGAACAGTTCTGAATTGCAGTGTTTTCACCTACAGGCAAGCCCTCAATTTTCGGAGTGGAGCAACTAAAAACGCAAGGACAGACTTGCCCAACCCTTGTTCTACCCAGATAGCCACATTGGCTAGGAATGTCTGCCAATGTAGTCCCAGAACATGTGACACATTAGTTAAATCCTGTTTAGTGCAGTATTAGATGGACAATAGAAACAGCAGTTTCTCCAAGTCAAACAGTTACACTAAGCTACCAGCTGTTACTATAGAAGACAGGAGATCTTTTAAAGCTGTATATTAGCCACTGGTTTTCTGGCACAACTTCAAGTTCAGCAAATATTCTACTATTGCCCGTTAGCTTCTAAAAAGAGAAAAGACCACAAGATACCACAAGACCTTTCTTAATAACAATAACAATGACCACAATAATAATAGGGCAAAGGGTAGCGGTAGCAGAAACTGGTCAGAAATGCCAATCTCTTCTCAGAGCGAACCTTCAAGAGTGAATGGAGTTGATTCATGTGAGATGTAGGTTTTTCCAATTTAACCACTGAAATCATATCGATAAAACAAGAAATAGATTTACCCTCCTATTAGTGTTTTCCTTAACAGCTCCTACTAATTCCCAGAGAAGCAACCTGCATTCCAAAGTGATACTCTCCTTGAGGTCACCAAGATTTTCTCTGGCTGGTTCTATTATTTAAATGTCAGTGGTGACTCCTGGAAAGAAAATTTGCAACCAAGACTCAAAAGAAAATGTATAGGTCCATGGCCAACAGCAGAGCCCAGAATGATAATGTCTTAGTGATTACACACATCTTCCAGCACCATCATTGTTGGGTGGAAGCAGTCTTCGGATGACATCCTGGGAATAATGTCAGGATGGAAACAAATGGAGAGCTTAATAGTAAGAGCATTATGGTCCAGTCTTACAGGCACTATTTGTCTTTCTTGCTTTCTCCATTAGGATGTTCTGTGATGGCGGACTGTTCTGAAAATTCCTCAAAGTTCTCATCTGCATGCTTGGATATTTTCTTGGCTTTCTGGTATAGCTCATTCAAGTTGAATTCCCGGATCACATTCTCCTGTAAGAGAAAGATATATCACTGTTGCTTTGTGCCAGCCTCTAGCTCCCAATGTGACAACTCAGCTTCAATGATTTAGTAATTTATCAGACATTTTACTAGGGACTTTTGCTTTCTATCAACTATAGTTAAAGGGAATACCTCAGAAAAGTTCCAAGAAACTGCTCGTCCCTTTTTATCAATCTGTGGCCGACGCATCAGTTCTTTACCACCTTGGAAAAGGATCAGTGTAGGCAGCTGCTTAGTGAGAGGAGAGGTGCTGATTTTGTACCTATGAAGAGATGAAGTCCAAATATAATTTCTGAAATGTGATGTCTGATCAAGTTGGTAATATTTTCTGGCTTCATGAACAAGCAGGCTAAGAACATGTCTTGGGACCCACCAAAATCTTGATAGTTGCAGGTATTATATGATCCATAATTATGTGTAAATTAGAAATGTGCTTCCCACTACAGTCTGCTATCTCTTCCACAGTTCCGAACCTAACTAATTATACTATGAGATCACCAACCAATGTCCTCCCCTTTTTGCAATGCCCAGCTATTAGAAAGTAAATCTTCCCAATGTCCTCCCACAAATCTGACATTCTAGTCTGTCTAAGCATTCTATATATGTATAAAGGCTGAAGGCTTACTTGGTGCTGACGTCAGGGTAGCGACCCACATCAACCTTTCCAAAGTTCAATCCAGTGCAATTATATCTGGTGAAATATAACAGTGATTACCATATACATGGAAATGCCAGCAAGTACAATATTTGGTAATAGCAACATTTATTTTCCTCATCTCTTTTTGCTTCATTGGAATGCAATTTTCACTGCGGTCTTATCCAAATTAAGCCATTAAAGTTATGTGTAACAAGCTTCCCCAAAGTGACACAATAAGATTTATGAACAAATATGAACTCAAGTTATGTTAGACAAGAGTTTTCCCAGCCTAACCAGAATTGTACATTGCAGAACTGAATTACTCTTTTTCTTTAAACTACAGTCACGATTACCAAGAAGAAAAGATTTTTTTTTTCTGAGTGAAAAAACAAACAAACACCAAACTACACTGTGGCCATCTGCTGGCTATTGCTGGCAGCAACATACACTACCAACACTTAACCAAGAGCTACCAAAAGACTAGAGTCTAGAGCTGTAGAACCCCTAGAGCTGGAAATGACCAGCACATATATGTGAGGGGAACCTTTACCTTACCAAAAGGACACCCCAAGCATAAAAGTAAACAACATACTGAGTAGGGAGGCTTATATCCAGGTCGATTCAGAGATTTTAATCCAAAACAGCTAATAGATTAATTCTGCTTCTAGATCTCTGTTCTTTTCCTCCACATCACAATCAAATCTCCACAAGGATTTGATATTTTTCCATTTCCATTTACTT